GGTTGGCTATCTCTTTGTCACTTAGTTGTATTATTTCTGGAGCTTTGATCTGTTCTTTCATTTGGGCCTTTTTTTTTTGTCTTGACACACCTGTTAGGTACTGAGGGGCGGAGCCTTAGGTATTCACAAGGGCGGGGCAATCCAGTGTCTGGGTTGTGCTGCTGTATGTGGGGGAGGGGTCCGAGAGGGAACAATGGCACTTGCTCGGCTCTCTGCCGGATTTCAGTCCCTTCTGCCCCAAGCAAACTGGGCCCTTCTGGTGCTGATTCTCGGGTGAGTGGTTTTGTATATGTTCTATCTAGGACGCTGTGGGTCTCTCCAACGAACTCTCCTGTGAGGCTGGGAGTCTCTTCCAGAACCTCAACCCCCACAGGTGTTTTCAATCAGTGTTTTGAGGCTTTATTTCCCCACGCTGGGACCCTGGGTTTCTCGGTCTGTCTCGCTCCACAGTTTCACCTGATTTATCTGCACGTGAATGTGGGACTGCCTGGTTCGCCAGCTGACTTGTACACCAAACCCCTCCGCAATCTGCCACCTCGCTAGGTCCACCCGCTGCCGCCTTGTGCACCCAGGGTCCGCCAGCTGCCGCTTTGCCGCCTGTCCTCGCCACCTGGCCACCCGACTCCGCCCCTCCTACCGGTCTAGATGAATGTTTCTTCTTTAACTCCTTGGTTGTCGGACTTCCATACAGTTCAATTTTCTGTCAGTACTGGTTGTTTTTTTGTTTCTAAAATTTTGTTGTCTTTCTTTTGGTTGTGTGAGGAGGCACAGTATGTCTACCTACACCTCCATATTGGGCAGAAGTCACATTTCCTAATTCTTATGGATTGTTTTCCTATGGCTGCTGTTACAGATTAGCACAAACTGGGTGGCTTACAGAAACTGAAATTTATTTTTTCACAGTTCTGGAGACAAGAAGTCCAAAATCAAGGCTCTACAGGAGGATCCTTCCTTATCTCCTTATCTCTTCCAGTTTGTAGCAGCTCCAGGCATGACTTGGCTTTTTGGCCTCCTTGACTCCAATCTCTGCCTCTGTCTTCACATAGCCTTGTCTCTTTGTCTGCATCTTCAACACTTGTTACTAGGTTTAGGGTCCACCCAGATAATCTAGGATGATCTCATCTCAAAGTCCTTAATTATATCTGCAAAGACCCTTTGTCGAAATGAGATCATGTTCATAGGTCCCGGGTGTTAGGACATGGACCTATCCTTTTGCAAGTCACCATTCAACCAACTGTTCTTACTGTGTGCTATGGATGGTGCTAAGCACTTTACACAATGTCACCAAAGTCCTCAACACAGTCCCATGGAGTAGATAGGCTTATTATTTCCATACATCCCATGAACTCAGAGAGGTGCAGCGTCCTGCTCAAGGTCACACAGGAATCAGGATTCAAACTCAGCTGTGTTGGGTTCAACATTCTGATTCTGTGTGAGGCACAAAAGAGATTTCTGGTTCTGAGTCAAAGTCAGACAGTCAGGCAGCAAAAATTTCTGTCATGTCTGTTCTTAACCAGCCCCTGGGCCAGGCACTGGTGATATGGAGCAAGTGGAAGAGGGCGTGTCCCTGGAGAGTCCCTGGGAGGAGAGACTGGATTATTCATCAGCCCTTTCACAGAGGTAGAATCAGCTGACTCCTGTCTTCTACAGCACTGCCCTTGGCCCGAGGCATCCACAGGGGACAGCCAAGGCCACAACTTTGTCACCAAGAATAGGACAAAAGAATAAAGTTCAAATCCAGAGGGAATGTGTCAAGTACAAATAACATTTAAGCAGCACTACTGCACACCACAGGCTGTTTTATGAGTTTGACATACTCATTGAATCCTCCCTGTATTACAGGTGAGGAAACCAAGGCACAAGAAGGTCAAGTGAGTTGCCCAAGGTCACACAGCAGGAAATAGAGATGGGATTGAAACCCAGCTCTGCCCATTACCAGAGGCCCTATTGGGTTTTTTTAAATATTGAGGTGAAATTGATATAACAAAATCAACCATGTTAAAGTGAACAATTCAGTGGCATTAAGTATTTCTCAATGCTATGCAACCATCTCTTCTGTCTAGTTCCAAAACATTTTCATCACCCCAAGGGGATACGCAGTAGCAGTTACTCCCCATGCCTCCCTCCTCCCAACCCTTGGCAACCACTGGTCTTTCTGTCTCTATGGATTTGCCTACTCCGGACATTTGCTTACTTGCACATCAGTGGGATCACACAATATGTCCTCTTTTGTGCCTGGCTTCTCTCACTCAGCATCATGTTTTTGAGGTTCATCCACACTGCAACCTGTATCAGAATTTCATTCCTGTTTAAGGCTGAGTGATATGTTCCATTGTACGGATGGACCACATTGTGTTTATCCATTCATCTGGTGATGTACATTTGGAGTTTTTCTATTTTTTGACCGTATACAGTATTGCTGTTCTGAATGTGTGCATGCAGTAATGTACATGTAATGTTTAAAATGGTTAATTTAATTTTATATTAATTATACCTCACTATTAAAAAAAAGAAAGTAGTGCTATCTGCTGAGAACGCCTAGAGGCAATGACACCATGCCCCCACCTCCAATAGCAATGAGCACAGCCAGTGCCCAGGGCCCTTCACCAACAAAGGCAGCCCAGCTCCTTGGGGAAATGGCCAATTCCAAGACTGGGGTAGGGGAGAGACAAGAGGGGCCTGGGACATCTTGGGGTGCCAGAAAGTAATAAAGTGCTGAAAACAAACGAATGAACAAACAAACAAAAATGGAGTCATGTTGAAAGAATAGTCCCTAAAATGCTTACAGCAGTGGCCAACTGACACAATGGCCAAAGCTGAAACAATGTGAGCAACAAAATAAATAACAACAGTACTGGATTATAACCCATAGACTAAAATACCCCTGACCGGGGTGGCTCAGTGGGTTGGGCGTCCTCCCGCAAACCAGAAGGTCACCGGTTTGATTCCCAGTCAGGGCACTGATTGTTTTTCTCACATTGATATTTCTCTCCCTCCCTTCCCTTATCTGTAAAAAAATAAATAAATGAAATCTTCTTTAAAAAAAAACAAAGTAAAATAACTGTTCATGAATCCATACTTTTATAAAGAAATGATTGAATAAACAAACCAATGGAGATAGAACAACTCTTCCTTACGTAAGAACTTCAGGTAATAAATAATAGGAAATGTAGAAGGAATGAGATAAATGGAAAATTACTAATAAACAAACATCACAGTAGTAATTTCTACATGCAGGATCCACCAGTGAATGGAAAGGCAGTGCGGGAAATTTGATGGGAAACAGGGCCTTTGCAGGGCCTCAAAATACCTCAGCCAAAGTATTTATCTGTTTTTTATATTTTTATCATAGTTTTACCAGAGGGCCACCAATTCTTCCATACTGCTCCTCCCAGACATTGGAGCTGCATTGTTCTGCTCTGAGAGGAGGCCGAGAGTGTTGGTTAGAGAAACGTGTTCTGTGTGAAAATTCTTCCAGGTGTCCACTTGTGATCAGCACAATTTTCTGTATGTGCAATAAAAAGTTCAATTTGTTCAAGTGCAGCAAGGAAAAAAAGGAAAGAGACAGATTTGGCTGTAGGTTTTGGAGAGGCACGTGTTGGTGTTAAAACTGTAAAAAACAAAGAAATGATGATGCCTCAAGTTTGGTTGGCAGTTACCTCTGGGAAAAGCCAGGGATTGTGATGAGGGGGGATGTGGGGGAGGGGGTGGACATTGGTTTCTGGCACCGTGCTGTTCGTGATCCGTGCGATGACGGCACAGGTGTTCAGTTTGAAAAGGTTATTTAACTTGCACATGCAGTGCAATGTCAGTGGTATCCTGGAGCCAGCTGTACTGACTTGTAAGGATGGATTTCAACTTTCCAGGAATTTGGGGACATCACAGTGACATCACATTGGGAGCTTGAAATTGGCCAGAACGTGACAAGTGCTACAAATCAATTTTTTTTTTCTGGAGAGCCCATTGTTAAACATTTCCCAGCACATCACAGCTCCTCTAAGTATATGATATTAAGTAAGCATTTTTAGTCGTGAAAAAATACATATAACATAAATTTTACCATCTTTGCCATTTTTATGTGTCCAGCTCAGTGGCATTAAGCACATTCACATTGTTGTGCAGCCGTCCTCACCATCCATCTCGGGAACGCTTTTCATCTTGCAAAACTGAAACTCTGTCCCCATATACATATTTTTTTAATCCTTAACATTTCCCTTGGAGAGCATGGATTCTAGAGCCAGATAGCTTTCCACCCCACTACCATTTACCAGCTGACCTTGGGCACCTTATGTCACCACTCTGTGCCTCAGTCTTCTTGTCTGTACTGTGAGTGTAATCTCAGTCCTCACCTCACAGCCTAGTGGCTCTTGGAAGTGGTTTGGGGACCAGCAGCATTAGCATGGCCTGGAAACTTTCCTCAGATGCTCTGCAGGAGGGCCCAGCCCTTTAGGTTTTTTCAAGCTCTCCAAAATATTCTGAGGCTGACTCATACTTGAGAACCATTATCCTAGTGGTTAGGAGAATTAAATAGATTATACAAATATAAAATATTTAGAGCAATGCTTGGTTCCAAGCCTGTACTGTGGGGGGGCTCACTATCATTGTTGTAGCTATTCTATTATAGAGGAGGTCCAGACCCCAGCTCTATGGTGGGGAGGGGTATGGCCACACCCTCTCCCCTGGCCTGGTGGACCTCTAGGTTCCTGATCTCTGCTGAGTGAGGCCTTCTTTGCATCCTCTGTTGAAGATGGCAGTAAGATGAGCCACCCCATCCCTGGGGGAAGGTTATTGCTTAGACTGGGAAACAGGAAAGGTCAGGGTTGGGCCGGGCATGCCCGCCTCTTCTCAGCTGGAAGAGATAAAGGAGGTCACTCAGTTCCTCCACAACAGGCAGGGGAACCTGGGTATATAAATGGGGGGCCGGGAAGCAGCAGAGGCACGGACTGCAAGAAAATTTCCTGGCTGGGCCCACCCTCACATCCCAGGAGTCCCTGTTCACCATGGCCAAGCACCCAATGCTGCTGCTGCTGCTGGCTGTGTGGGTGCTGGCAGTGGGACTGTGGCTGGATGCTGAGGCCCTGAAACCACCCATTGTTAAGAAGCTTTGTGGCCAGGAGTTCGTCCGGACAGCCGCCCACATTTGTGAACATCCCGGATCGAGATGGAGTCGGTCGGCTATCCTGACCCAGGAACTAATGGGTGAGGTGGCAGGAGGTAGTGATGGGGAGAAAGGGAGCATATGGGACATGGGATCGGCCCAAGGAGGCAGAGACAAAAATCAGACCAGAGTCTAAGGGGGTAAGCCCCTGCCCATGACTTGCAGCTGAAGAGACTTGCCCATTCTTGAAGCTGAGCCAGCTGGCAAAGCTGCAAAGCTGGGACAAGGTAGGGGGAGCTGCAAGCCATCTCCACTGACTGAAAGTCAAAGGACAGAGCACTATCCCTGGGGCACCTCCTATGTGCCCAGCTCTGCGCTGAGCAAGGCTGCTGCTTGCAGGACTCCAGGGGGACACCGTTCAGAAGCTGACACTGAAGTGCTTTCCATCCCCTAGGCAAAGGTAGTGTGAGGGGTGTGGTGTGTCCAAGGCTGGATTTTGCTATCTATTGGGTGACCCTCCCACCAAGTTGCTTTCCCTCTCTGACCCTCTATATCTGCAAATGGGAGGCAGAGTCCCTATATCTCACAAGTTTGTTCAGTGGCAAAATTGAGTCAAAACAGATGAGAACACAGTCCAAGAAGGGCAAGAGACTCAGTTTAGGCTCAAGAGGGAGGCATGGAGTCTAGATTCCTAAAGGGCAGGGGTCTGGCAGAAAAATAGACGGTGGTGATCATGATGATGACCATGATGATGATGGCATGAATGTAGACCTAGAAGACATGCTGCCTGGATTCAAATAGCAGCTCTGCAATTCAATAGCTGTGTGTTCCTGGAGAGTTACTCCCCCAATCGGGCCTCAGTGTTCTTCTCTGGGGAATGAGGTCTAGTAACTGCACCCACTGCACGGATTTGTCATTGAGAGGAATAATGGAGTTACTCATGAGAGCCCGCAAAACAATGTCTGGCACACAGTTGGTGCTTGATACATGCTTAACGCTATTCTGAGTATCATGTGCTAGACACAATCCTAAGTTGTTTTTTTTAATGGGTATTAATTAACTCATCTACTCTCTGTGAAACGCTAGAAGGTAGGAGTTATTCTTTTCCTCACTTTGCAGACCAGGAAACCAAGACTCAGACAAGTAAATTCACTTGCTCTGGATTATATTAAGATGGATTGGTGCTTAATCAGTCTGGCTCCCAAACATATGTTCTTAACCAAGAGGTCCTCCATAAATAAAGAATAAAGGAAAGTCAAGCTCAATGAGGTTGAATATTCTAGCCATCAAAGCTGGAGGCTAGGCCTGAGTGGAATCAAAATCTCAAACTGTGACACCATGTCACAAAAACTGAAAAGTAGCTGGACCAACCTGGAGCCCTGACTTTGGGTGTGACAGAAACTGAGCCCCAAGCATTAACTCTTTTCATCTTTTGCATGGAATGCCTTCCCAGATGCAGGACCTGATGGAAACACCAAGCTGGATGAGGCGGTGGCCTCCAGTGAGTGGCAGAAAAAGTCCCCCAAGACTTTCTCTAGGGGCCCACGTAGCTGGCGGAAACTCGGAGGGGCTGTGCGGCACAGTCGAAACTTCATGAGACACTGCTGCAACAAGGGTTGCACCAAGAAGGACATTAGCAAGCACTGCTAGATGAGGGACTATGTAGCCTGGACTATGAGAGGGAATGCTGAGTACCTGTCTCTGGCCCCTCTTACATTCACTGATCAGCAAGTCATCAGGTCAGGCACTGTGGACTCCAGCAGGATCCCCGAGAATAACCCACATCTTCTGCTTGGCCAGATGGTTGCTGCAGATCCTGACCCCTTGACCTCTCCCTGGCCCGTATCATGCCTTTGTCTGGACTATACTGTCCTTTGTCTGGACTATACTGTCCCCTGTCCAGTGGTGTCCCTACTCTCCCCAAACTGGCCATGCTGAAGAAGCCATTGCCAAAATTGTTACTGTCTCCTGCCCGAACTGTGGCCACTGTCCCATGGCCACCCTATATGATGCCCTTGCCCCAGCCTAGCCTTTGCCCACTCCCTTCCCCCTGCTTTCCAGCCCCTCTGCCTCCAATCCCACCTGCTGGGGTTCTAAGGCTGTGGACCCCAGGGTTGCTGTTGAGACCCCTGAGTTCCCTTCATATCCTGGGTTGAGAGGTTGGGTACAGAGACACATGAGAAGCTTCTCCAACCCTAATAATAAAAGTTCCGAAGGACTCCGCAGTGTGTGTGCGTTGTTGGGGGCGCTCAGTTTCAGGAGAGCTAGGCCGAGCCCTCTGTCACCTCCCCCATACGCCCCAGGCCGCCTTCCCACTCCCCCTCCCCCAGGGACTTTCCGTCCCGGGGGGGTGGGAAGGGGCGGACCCGAGCACAAGGTGCGGAGGCGGCTGGGAGGGGTGGCTCGGCTTCCCGTTGCCGTTGAGTCTCTGGTTCCAGAGAGCGAGACCCGCGGCGCGTCCGTCCGCTAGGGCCCAGCAGGGCCAGGCCCGACTCGGGGGGCCTGGCGGGCACTGGGGAGGCCATGAGGTGGGCCCGGGCCGCCCCCTTCGTCCTGCTGCCAAAGCTGAAGCTGGCGCTGCTCCCCCTGCTGTTGCTGCTCTTCCACCGGACGAGTCCCCACGGTGAGTTCTGGGGCGAGCTCGTGTTGGGCGCTCTGCCGTGTGCTCACCCTTAAAGCGCAAATCCTCCAGGGCAAACTCTAAGTTCTCAGAATGAATGGCAGATGTCCGGACGCTACTCTGCTCCTCCTTGGGCAAGGACGGGGTGAAGAAAAGAGTGGGGAATGGGAGGCCGGGGATGGAAGCCAGAGTCCAGGAGTGGGGGCGCTTGGGGTGGTAACAGGATGTGGCTGGCTGAGGGAGGGGAGGAGTCATGCACAAAGCCTGGGTAGAGGTGCCTAGGCCCTCTTCATCCTGCTCACTTCTGTAAGACACCCCATCACCTGCACGATTTTCAATAGTTGGGGGAAGTTCAGGTTCTGGGCTGTGCAGGCGGCTGGGGGAATTGATCCCCTTCACTAGGACCCTCCCACCTCCCTTCTAGGCAGCCCCAGGCCCCTGCGGTGCTATGGTGTTGGACCCTTGGGCGACTTGAACTGCTCGTGGGAGTCTCTTGGGGACCTGAGAGCTCCCTCCATGCTGCACCTCCAGAGCCAGAAGTAGTGAGTACAATGGGGTGGCTTGGGGAAACTGAGACTTTGGCAGGGTGACTGCCCAGGTCCCCTCCTTGTTTGGTTGAGAGGACCCTGGAGACATGCCCCCAGTCCTCCCCAACTCTCAAGCCCTTCAACCATGCCAGGTTCCTTCATTTCCTTCCTACACAACCCTGAACCACTTTCCCTCTCTGAGACTTCTCTACTCCTCTATCACACGGCAATGATAAATGAAACCTGCCTCAGGGGATTGGTTCTGAGGATCCAATGAGTGAGGCACTATGGCGAAGAGCAAATGTTTTTATTGCTGTGTGGCCTTAGGCAAGTAGCTTAACCACTCTGGAGATGCAGCTGTAAAAGAGACAGACAGACAGGCTGGTCCTCCTGGGGCCCACAGCCCAAGGGGGAACTGCCATTCCTTCACGATGAATCATGCCTGGAAACTCCAAATCATTGCAAATTTGAAAGAGTAAAAAGGGCATTGAAAGGTAGGAACCAGAGTTGGAGGCTGGCTTTTTTTTTTAGTGGTATAAAATAAAATACACATATAAAATTTACCATTTTTTCCTCAACCACTTTTAAGTATACAAGTCCATGGCATTAAGGACATTCACATAGCTGTGCAACCATCACCACCATCCACCTCCAAGAGGGGGACCTAGTTTTAATTGATAGAGGGTTGGAGAGTCAGAGAAGGATTTTTCCTTTTTTAATGAGGTGAAGTTCACACGACATAAAATTCACCGTGTTAAAGGGAATAATCCCGTGGCTTTGGCGCGTGCAGTGTTGTGCAACCACCATTTCTACCTCGTTCCAGAACATCTCCGTCACCCAGAAGGAAGTCCCGTCCCCAGGAGCACTCACGCTCCAGCCCTCCCCCAGCCCCTGGCCACCACCGGTGTGTTTCCTGTCTCTGTGGACTTGCCTGCTCTGGACATTTCATATCAGTGAAATCATACACAACTGGTTTTTGTGTCTGGCTTTCTCTGAGCATAATGTGTATGAGGTTCATCCACATGGTAGCACATAGCAGAACTTCATTCCTCTTTCTGCCTGAGTAATATTCTACTGTATGAATGGGCCTCATTTTGTTCATCCTTCCCTCTGTGGATGGACATTTGGGTTGTGTCCACCTTGTGGTGATTGTGACTAGTGCTGCCAGGAACATGCATGTACAAGTTGTTGAGTCCCTGTCTTCAGTTCTCTTGGGTATATGCCCAGGAGGGGAATTGCTGGGTCATATGGCCGTTCTTTGCTTAACTTTTTGAGGGACTGCCAGACTTTTCCACAGCAGTTGCAACCTTTTATGTTCCCACCAGCAGTGTGTGAATGCTCCCATTTCTCCATATCTTCACCAACATGTGTTTTTGTTGTTTTTATAAAGGACTTGTTTTGAGCCTTTGAAATTCAGCCCTTGGGATCATCCTCAGCTCCTCTCTCTCACCCACATCTGATCCATCAGCAAGCCTTGCTGGCCCCACCTCAAATGTAATCCAGAATCTGGCATTCCCCGCTTCCTTAGCACACACCCCAGTTAGTCTCCTATCATTGCTGTCCTGGACAGTGCAGTCACCACCTCCTCCTCCCTGAGCTCTGGTTTCCACCCTCAACCCTACAGTCGGCCACAACATCCAGAGGGCACCTGTACATCCGAGTCAGGGCACGTTGCTCCTCTGCTGCTCACCATCTTCAGGACTCCTACCTCAGTCAGGATAAAAGCCAGTCCTCCCTGAGGTCCACCAGCAGCTGCCCAATCTGCTTGTCACCTCCCTGCCCCCACCATCCCACTCCCACTCACTCTGCTCCAGCCATATGGGCCCCCTCCTTGCTCTTTTTTAAAAAAATATGCTTTTATTATATTATTACTATTTTTAATCCTCACTCAAGGATATATTTTTATTGATTTTGAGAGAGAGAGAGACACCAACTGGTTGCTTCCCATACATGCCCCGACAGGGGATCAAACCCACAACCCAGGTACATGCCCTGACCTAGAATCAAACCCTCAACCTTTTGATGTATGGAACGATGCTCCAACTAACTGAGACACTGGGCCAGGACTCCTCCTTGCTCTTCCTCAACACACCAGGCTGTTGACCCCGGGGTCTTTGTACTTCCTAAAGTGTTCTGCATGGCTCTACCCTCATATCCTGCAGGCCTTTATTCAAATGTCTCCTCATCTGAGAGATCTTTCCTGACTACCCTCCCTAAAATAGTGCTGTCACTCCTCACCCCATCATCACACTGCATCCTCTTCACCCTGCTTGACTATTCTTTATATCACTCACACCACCATTAGTCATATACTGATGTCTCTCATCTGCCTCCCCCGTTGGGAAGCAGAGAATGTGTTCTTGCCTCCTTCGGTCATAGTCCTATTTCAGCTTCTACAACAGGGCCTGCACAATATATATTTGTTGACTGAATAGTTGCATAGGCATAAATGTGCATGTACAGTAGGTACTCAATACATGCAATAACCAGTGTTCACAAAGCATATATTGTGCACCCAATGGTCTTGTAAATGCATCCCATTTATTCTCACATTGGTTCCCCTCTTCTATTCAGCCCTGTCAGCAGGTACTTTTATTGCCCTCTTTGGAGATAAGGAAACTGAGGCACAGAGAAGTCAAGTTGCTTGCTTGGGGTCACAGAGCTCTAAAGCAGCAGAGCTGAGATTTGAACCCAGGTGGAGCAGTTGTTATTGTGGATTGGGCCCAGCCCTGTGCACACCTCCCCTCAATTCCCACGTCTTTCCTCACAGTCATTCCAACAGAACCTGGACTGTGGCGGTGCCGACTGGGCAGAGTTGGGTGACCATCCCACGGGAACAGTTCACCACATCTGATGAGCTCCTTGTCTGGGGGGCCAAGGCAGGCCGGCCTCTCTGGTCCCCAGTCTTCGTGAACCTGGAGACACAAAGTAACAGGCAGGAGGGAGGATGCTACCTGGAGGGGGAGGTGCTGGAGTCCCTGACTCAATGTACCCTGGCCTCCCCTCCTCAGTGAAGCCAGAAGCCCCCCAGCTGGACCCTGATGTGGATTTTTCAGAAGACGACCCCCTGGAGGCCACTGTCCAATGGTCCCCGCCTTCATGGCCACCACATAAGGTCCTGGTCTGCCAGTTCCACTACCGAAGATGCCAACAGATGGCTTGGATACTGGTGAGTGTCAAAGGGGCTTTCCCCCCACCCTGTTCAGGGCATCATCCTTAGATGAGAGACCGAGCCCAGGGGCATTTCTTACCTGCCCTTGGAGTCTGTCTGCCTCCACACAAAAGAACTGAACATGCATATTCATTCTTCAACTAAAGAATTACCCCTTTGCCCTGGCTGGTGTGTCTCAGTTGGTTGGAGCATCATCCTGTAAACCGAAGGGTTGTGGGTTTGATTCCCGGTCAGGGCACATGCCTAAGTTGCAGATTCGATCCCCAGTTGAAGCAACCAATTGATATTTCTTTTACATTGATATTTCTCTCCCTTCATCTCTCTCTCTGACATCAATAAATATATATATATATATATATTTTTAAGGATTTTATTTATTTTTAGAGAGGGAAGGGAAGGAGAGAGAGAGAGAGAGAGAGAGAGAGAGAGAGAGAGAGAGAGAGAGAAACATCAATGTGCAGTTGCTGGGGGTCATGGCCTGCAACCCAGGCATGTACCCTGACTGGGAATCGAACCTGCGACACTTTGGTTTGCAGCCCGTGCTCAATCCACTGAGCTATGCCAGCCAGGGCAAATAGATATATTTTTTAAATTAAAAATTACCCCCCCCACACACACACAAAATCTATAAATTTCATTCAGTCTCAATCCAAATTCCACTTGGAATTTTTTTTTTTATTTTAGAAAATAAAGTTTTTATTCACTCTCCAAGAAAGGAGAGGGACATGGTGTGGAGAGATGTACCAGCACTGAGGGGTGGGGGCCTGGAGCTTTTATTGGATAATAATTAGATTAAAATAGTGTGTGGGGGTTGCTATTGTGTGGCCCTTAGCTGCAGTGTGTTCCAATGTTATCTTCTGCCTGTGGCTGTAGAGAGCAATTAGTTCTGTTCTTCCAGTAATTTCCATTCCTAGGAACAACCTCAGAAGAGTAAAAGGGCAGCCATGTTTAACAAGGTCATAGGCCTGCTAGACAAATAGTGCCACAATAGCAAATGGGGCTGGCTTTGTCCTTCCATTTCCCACTCTGGTTTTAAAATGGATTTATTCTTAATGACCTGGACTGATTCTGGTCTTGGGGAGTAGGGACGAAGATCTTTTCTTCGTTGGCACCTACTCAGGCAGGCTAGGGCTGCAGAGTTGTCCCTGCCTGTGGGTCTGGGTGTGGGTCATTAAGGGGAAGAGGGACAGCCCAAAAACCAAGAGCTGTGGCTGGAGGCCAATTTCCACTTGGAATTTCTAAGAAACAATAAACTTTTTGTGACATTTTTGTGAATGAATAAAAGTACTCAAATAGTTTATGTTAACCTTAAAATAAGACTAACAGCACTTTACAGATGAGGAGCAGGATCTGGTTCTCATTAAATACTCAAAAAGAATAAAAGCAGCTGACATTTCTGAGACCTGCTGAGCATCAGGTCCCAGGCTAAACAATCAGCAGGAATTATCTTGATAAATCCCCCAACCTCTATACATAACAGACGCTTTTAAGATCTCTAGTTTGTAGATGGGGAAGCCAAACATCAGAGAAGTTAAGCGACTTTCCCAAGCTCTCATGAAGGAAGGTGGAAGACAACCCCAGGGTAGTGGGACCCCAGATGGAGTTAGGGGCCTGCCATTGCAGCATACTCCAGAAGCTGCATATATCATTTCAGTTCATATCTCAGTGTCCAGACTTAGTCACATGGTCTCACCTCTCTGTAAAGGAGGCTGGGAAATGTAGTCTTTATTCTTCATAGGCATGTTCCCAACTGATACTCAGAGGTTCTATTTCCAAAGGAAGAAGGGGAGAATGAATATTGTGGATAACCAACTCTTTCAGCCACAGCTTTTGATGCAGAACACCATAACATCAAGTAAAGTTGTCACTGTGATTATTCATGCAATTCAGAGCAGTGCTGAGATGCAGGCCTTGGAATCTGACTGCCTTGGTACAAACCCTAGCTCCAGCACTCACCAGTTCTATGACCTAGGGCAAGTCGCTTCCTTTCCCTGGACTGCAGTTTTCCTAACCTGTAAAGTGGTGGTAATAATATAATTCACCACCTACTGTCATACTGGCACATAGGGCCCACTTTTAAAACCGAAAGTCCAATGTTTTGGGAATTCTCTCAGTCCCAGGCAAAGCAGGGTAGTTGGCTACCCTGATGACATATGAGAGCAAATACTGTCAACTCGGCTCTCGGGCTCATTGCTCCTTCCGGTCTCTCCCTAGCTGGAACCAGAACTGAAGTCCATACCCCTGACCCCTGTTGAGATCCAGGACCTAGAGCTAGCCACTGGCTACGAGGTATCAGGACGCTGCCGAATGGAGAAAGAGGAGGATCTGTGGGGCGAGTGGAGCCCCATTCTGTCCTTCCAGACGCTGCCCTCTGGTAAGGATCTCCTGGCTTACCCCTATGCCTTCGTCCCCTCTCCTGGAGGTCTGTCCAGTGATGCCCCTTTCATTTGTGCCTTTGTCAGCTCCAAAAGATGTGTGGATATCAGGGAACCTCTGTGGGACACAAGGTGGACAGAAATCCCTGCTTCTGTGGAAGGTGAGTTGTGGGGACCAGTCATATTTCTCTGCCACATGACCAGAAAGCTGTAATTACGATGACATAAAAGATGACATAAAGAAGACAGAAGTTACTGTACTGCCCTCTTGAGGTTGCTTCAAGGCTTAAAGGAGGGGGATGTTCAGAAAGGTCCTGGCACAGGGCTGGCCCAGAGCGTGCCTTCACCATCTGGGAGCTCTGAGCTGAAACAGGAAGATAGATGCATGCGTTCTAGGAAGTGGGGACAGCAAGTACAAAGGTTTGGAAGCAAGACTAGGCTTAGCTCCACAAAATACAGCACAGAGTGCTAAGGGTTCAGATGCTGGTATCAGAAGGGCATTATGAGTTGACAGACAAGGGTACGATAGTCCTCGTTGATCCAAATCTGTTGAGTACCTACTGTGTTCCAGGCATTGCTAGGCCCTAGCTCACAGTAAATATGGCAAAGAACAAAACAACAGGGCCCATGTCTTCTTTTTAAAAAATTTTTTTTTAAATTTATTTTTAGAGAGAAAGGAAGGGAGGGAGAAAGAGAGGGAGAGAAACATTAATGTGTGGTTGCCCCTTGTGGTCCCTCTACTGGTGACCTGGCCTGCAACACAGGCATGTGCCCTGAATAGGCCACCCTTTGGTCCACAGGCTGGCACTCAATCCACTGAGCCACACCAGCCAGGGCTGATAAATGGGAGATATTAATCCCTTCTTTCCTTCATCCCTCAGGCCCCAGGGCACTGTGTGCAGGCGAGCTACAGAGTCTGGTTCCAGGTTAAAGGTCAGGAACTGATCCCCAGGGAGACTCCCTGCTGTAGCTCCTCCATCCCAACCCAGACGGAGTGGGTTGCAGTGTCTGCCATCAATGCCACAAGCTGGGAACCTCTCACCAACCTTTCTTTGATCTGCTTGGGTAAGAGGCTATGAACTTCCTCTACTCAGTGCCCTGGAAGTGCTCAGGAGGGGGTTTCCTGAGAGCAGCTGAGACTTCTCTTTCCTGTCCTCCAGATTCAGGCTCTGCCCCTCATGGTGTGGTGGTCAGTAGCATTGCTGGGAGCACAGAGCTGCTGGTGACTTGGCAACAGGGGTCTGGGGAGCCGAAGGAACATGTGGTGGACTGGGCTCAAGATGGAGAGCCCCTGGAGAACCTCAGCTGGGTCCGGCTTCCCCCTGGGAACCTCAGTGCTGTGTTGCAAGGTGAGGCCCCGGTATACCTGGGCTCCCATCCCAGCTGTTGGAAACCAGGCTAATGAGTGGGTATGCAGGAAAGAGTGTTATGCTTAAAGTATCATTAATTCATTGACCACCCATCGTGTGCCAGGCTCTGTTCTAGACACTGGTACACAGTGATAGCTATTGGCACTTACCATAAGCAGTAAATCTTTCAAACTTCCTTATGCAGTAGGTTTCTGTTACTGTCATGCTTGATTTACAGATGAGGAGAAAGGCCCAGTGTGGTTAAATAACTTACCTGAGGGCTCACAGCAAGTTGGTGGTAGGACCAGAATTTATTTATTTTAAATTTTTATTTGTTGATTTTATAGAGAGAGAGAGCAAGAGAGACAGAGAGAAACATCAATTTTTAGTTTCACTTATTTTAGTATGTGCCTTGACCAGGAATTGAATCTGCAACCTTGGCCTATCAGGATGATGCTCTAACTAACCAAGCTACCCTGCCAGTGCTAGAGCTAGGATTTAAATGACATAGTCAGGCTCCTGAAACCAAACCCTAAGCCATCACTCCACTCTCCCTCTCAGCAACATCCCTGCCCTCATGAGCCAACATTCTCGTGGGGCAGGCAGCCAATTAAACAAAAACAAGTACCTATAGTGTAATTGGGGCAAAATAAATTAGTGTAAGGGGAGGGAGGGAGAGCTGCTACTTTGTTTTTTTAAAGATGTTATTTATTTATTTTTAGAGAGAGAGGAAGGGAGGGAGAAAAAGAGGAGGAGAAACATTGATGTGTGGTTGCCTTTTGTATGCCCCCTACTGGGGACCCAGCTCACAACCTAGGCATGTGCCCTGACTGGGTATCAAACCAGTGACCCTTTAGTTTGTAGGCCAGCACTCAATCCACTAAGCCACACCAGCCGGGGCAAGAGTTGCTATTTTAGAAAGAAAGGTTAGGAAAGACCTCTCTGGGAAAGTAGCATTTGAGCTAAGGCCTAAAGGAGGTGAAAAAGGGGGCAAGAGGGAACAGACAGTGCAAAGGCCCTGAGGCAGGAATGTGTCTCATGTGTTAGAGTCAGTAAGGAGACCAGTATGACAGGACTGGAATGAGTGAAGGGGAGAGTGGGAGGAGGTAAGGGCAGACAGGTAATGGGACAGAGTGTGCAGGGCCTTATGGGCCACAGGGAGGACTTTGCCTTTTTTTTTTTTTTTTCTGAGTGAGATGGGAACCATAGAGGATTTTGAACAGAGGAGGGAGGCGGCCTAACTCAGGTGCTCACAAGCACCCTCTGGCTGCTGTGGGGGAGGAACAGACTGTGTTGAGTGGAGGATAGTGGAAGCTGAGAGAAGGAACTGTGCTTGTCCAGGCCGGAGATGAGGGATGCACCAGGCGGGACTTAAGAGGGGAGAGAAGCAGGCAAGTTCTGGTTGGGGAGTCTTGGAACAGAATTTTGTGGACCCATTTGATAAGTTTGCATCTGAGAGGCTTATCCAAGTGGAGTTGTCTAAGAGACTCAAATGTCAGGTCCTGGGCCCAGCAATGAGTTCCCGGCGGGGGCTTGATGTTGGGTGGGGGGAATCCTTCCTTGAGGTTAAGAACTTGGGAGAGCATGAGAAAGTGCTGAGTGAGAAATGTAGGAAGGAGTCCCGAGGCCCGTAAGTGTATATGGACAAAAGAAGAGGAGCCTCAATTCTGGAAAATTCCCAGTTGGGGAAGGCCATGCAGCAGCAGTAGTTTTGAAGGAGGGACTGCAGGAACCTCACTTAACTGTGATGGGTGGGATCAGGGCCCCCATCCTAGCTCTGTGTTTGACCATCTCTCAGTCTCAAGCATTTTCTGGCCTGAGGTCTGTTCCTGGTCCCTGAAGCATTTTGCCTGCCTAGGTAGAAGGCTGGAAGTGCAGGGAGTTAAGCCGCTTCAGGTGCAGCCCTGACCAATGAATGACAAATAAGGGTTGGTGTATAAATATCCCAGCTCCCTTCTGGAACCGAATGGGTCTCTGTCTCATGCTCTCTGCTGCCTCCCAGAGGTCACTAGCGGGAGTGAACCTCCGTTGTGCACACTGGGAATTTATCTACTCTCCAACGCACTGTTTATTCCCTGCTTTTTTTTCCCGGTTTTGCTTCCTCGCGGGCCCCTGGGGTGTTTTCTGGGATTGCTTTCTGGATAAATGACTCATACCCAGATCTTGATCTCAGCGTGCCCATCTGGGAACCAAAATGAAGGCTCCTTTTATGTAGGAAACAAGTGGGGGAGGAGGAGCCACCTTGAACTGGTCTTTGTTCCCACCCCGCCCCCATCCCAGGGCATTTCGAAGGAGGGGTTCCCTACCGAATCACAGTGACGGCAGTCTCTCCTGGGGGCTTGTATCCTGCTCCCTCGGTCTGGAGTTTCAGAGAGGAACTAGGTAAGCTATGGGGCTGGAAGATGGAGGGTCCTGGAACCGCGGCAGACCTTGACCCACTGGCTTTCTCCGCAGCACCTTTAGTGGGCCCAGTGCTTTGGCGACTCCAGGATGCGCCCCCAGGGACCCCCACCATAGCGTGGGGAGAGGTCCCAAGGCACCAACTTCGGGGTCTTCTCACCCACTACACCTTGTGTGCACAGAGTGGGACCAGGCCTTCTGTCTGCATGAATGGTGAGCTTTTGGCCTCCCGTCCCCTGCTCCCAGCCCCCACTAGACCTACCTGTCAGTCTGCCTTATCCCTTGTCCTCAGATGAGCCCATCTGGTTCCCTCTAACCCCCTAGAGAATGCATGATGTCATCAGTTCCCTAGTGGACAATAACCCTGGTGGCTCTCAGTGTAATGAACTGTCATTTGGCCATTAAAAATGAAGACTCCAATCTATATTTATTGGCATTGAAAGATGCCTGCCAAATTTTATTAAGTGTAAAAGCTAAAAGGATTCAAAACTATGTGAGATGGTTCCATTTTTTTGTAAAATAAACCCAGCATTGAGCAAAGCAGAGGCAGAAATAAATTTCCATCAGTGTCAACAGGATTGTAGGATTACATATGATTTTTACTTCTTTTTCATATCTTTGAGTATAGACTAAATTTTTACTCTGGGCACAAATTTCTTTTTATTTTTAAAAATAGTTAATTTATTTATTTTTAGAGAGAGGGGGAGGGAGGGAGAAAGAGAGGGAGAGAAACATCAATGTGTGGTTGCCTCTCACTGCAACCCAGGCGTGTGCCCTGACTGGGAATCAAACTGGCAACCCTCTGGTTCAAAGGCCGGTGCTCAATCCACTGAGCCACACCAGCCAGGGCCACAAATTCCTTTTTATAAAGCATCTTGATTACTCTTTCCTAATTATAAAAATTGTCTGTGCTTGTTCCAAAAGCGGGCATATATCATCAAGAATATCAGTATTTTTGTCATTTCACTGATACGGACAACAGAGCTTCCAGGTTTTTCTATGTACATACTGGTTTTTTGAAGATTTCAAGCACATACAAAAATAGGGAGAATATAACAAATCCTCATGTGCCCACCACTGCCAGTCTTGTTTCAGTTCACTCCATGCCCCTACTTTGTTCCCTAGAGTCTTTGGTGTCACTCCATCCCGAAACCTATCAGTACTTCACAGGTGTCCCTGATAGATAAAGCCCACTTTCTTAGTGTAATTACTTTTCCATGACTGTATCTTACAAATATATATATATATATATATATATATATATATATATATATATATATGCACACATATGTCATTTGGCTAAAAATTATACCTATTATTATTATTAAAAGAGTACCATGTTGTAGGATAGAGTTTGGCCCATGAATCTATGACAGTGATGTTTTGCAGCTTTCATTTGATGACTTAGCTTGGGTATCTTTCTTTGGCAATATATCTTGATCCATGTTCATGTCTCCTATAATCCTATAATAAATGAAAAAGTTGCTAAACAAAAAAGCAATTCAGTAAAAAAAAAAAAAAAAGGTACAACAAAAATAGCTCTGGAAGGTCCAGATGTCCACCTGGGCCTAAGGGGTCCCCCTCCACTGGGTTCTGTGCAGGTGAAGGATGTGGTTTATTAAATCTATATAATCTTTTAGTGCTTTCTATGTGCCAAGCTGACCCAGGTCCTGGGAATATGGCCTTGTGGGGCTTACTTTCTAATGGGGGAAATACAGGCATAAACAAAGTATATAGTAATAACCTAAGCAATGTGTCAGATGGTGATCAGTGCTGGGTAGAGAATAAAGCAGGAAAGGTGGGTTGTGGAGAAGATGAAATTTTATATGTGATGGGGTGAGGGAAGGTCTCCTTAGGGAGGCAATCTTTGTGCAAAGACCTGAAGGAAGGAGCTGTGTAGATATCTGGGGGAGTGTTGCTGACAGAGAGAAAGTACATGCAAAGGCCCTGAGGTGGGACTTGACTATCTCCCTAACCTTTCTGGGTTTGTCCTTCAGTGAGTGGAAGCGCCCAGAAAATCACCCTACCCAACCTTCCCTGGGGTCCCTGTGAGCTGTGGATGACAGCATCAACCATCGCAGGACAGGGCCCTCCTGGTCCCAGCCTCCGGCTTCATCTGCCAGGTAGGGGCTGTGGTGGAAGTCCATGGTAGGGGGCTTGTTCCATTTTAAGGGGATATGGAATGATTCTCTGGGTTTCAGTGATTGGGCATCCTTTTGCCTTAGGGGGTAGTTATTGATGATGCATTTTGATTCTACTAAATACTGATGTAGGTTATCAGGCAATGTGTGTCTCTGACCATTTCACCCACCTCTGACCTTGACCTTTCACCGATTACTGCTCTGTTCACAAGCCCCACTCCCACTCCAAGATTTTTCCCACCCGTAGCTCCTACCCATTTTCATAAATCCTACTCATTTATCTGTCTCCCTCACCCAAGCCCAGTACATCAATGAGCCTTATCTGGTGTCTGACTCTTCTTTTGCCCTTTTCTCCCAGATAATACCCTAAAGTTGAAAATTCTGCCAGTTGTTGTTCTCCTGTGGGGCTTGTTCCTGACATGCTGTGGCATAAGCCTGGCTACCTCTGGAAGGTGAGGCAGTCAGACATATGGGCTTCTGCACAGTGGGAAGAGCAGCTGGGCAATAACTGAGCTTTTGGGGTGAGGGGCCACCCTAGGGCTGTGACATTCCTGGCTCCTGCAACCTAGGCATGGGTATCTGGCCACTTGGATTCTCTTCCCTGAGTCTTACCTGCCTTCCAGGTGCCTCCACCTACGGCACAAGGTACTGCCCCGTTGGGTCTGGGAGAAAGTCCCCGATCCTGCCAACAGCAATTCCAGCAAGCCCCATGTAGAGGTGAGCAGAAACACTCATTGGCTTGTTGGGAATCTTCAGGGGGTTGGGGGATGCTGAGACAGGGGGGAGTGGGTAGAAGCACTGAGGGAGAATGGGGGCCATAATCTCAGCTAATCTCTCTTCCCAGGAGATACCCCAGGCCCAGCCCCCCAGGGACTCACCCACTTTGGAGGTGGAGGAGATAGAGCCACTGCCAGTTGTAGAGCATCCCCAGGCCTCCTCCCGGCTTGATTCTGGATATGAGAAACATTTTCTACCCACACCTGAGGAGCTGGGCCTACTGGGCCCTCCGCCCCCAGGCCCCAACGTTTGGCCTGAACCAGGCCATGAGAGGGGTACTCATTTGACATCTGAAGACACTGAGGCTTAGAGACATAGAGCCACTCACCAGAGAATGCCCAGCCAGGAAGATCTGAGATTGAAGGACCCCTACAGAAAGAGGACCCGGCCCTATAGGGAATGTATGGATGGATGAGGGAATAAAAGAACATACACAAAATCCAGAGTGGCAGCCACTTCCCCAAATCTGTCCTGCTGCTGTAACAGAACTATAGCTGGGTACACTCCCAGTCTCCCTTGCAGCTAGGTGGGTTCATGCACATAGTCCTCACCAATGGAATGTGAGCAGAAGTGACTTGTGCTAAAACTGGGACTAGGTGGGGCTCCTCCATATTCTTTTCCCTTTCGCATGAGCTGGAAGAACATTGACATGGCATGTGTTAGCTTCAGCCAGACCCAAGGGGAGGGTGGGGGCAAGAAGTGGAAAGGAACCTGAGTCCCTGAGTGACTGCATGGATCAGAGCCACCCAGAGAAATAAATTTATGTTTTTATAGTTACTATAGCTTGAGATCTTTTGTTACAGCAGCTGCACTTGTACAGTCACTGACTCATAATTTCATTCTAGCCAAGTGAAGGCCTCAATTTTCCACCAGCAGATGGTATGGTGGTTCTGTGCCAAAAACACACACATTTAAGCTGTCCCAGTGCTTTAACGTTTTATTTTCAAGTATAAAGGCTTAGTTGGAGAAGGGGGCCAGGGTCACAGGCAGTGGGCAAGGGGTCTGGAAGCCCAGGTGGAGGTGGATGTGTGGGCCAGCAGGCTCCCAGATGCCACGGCCAGTCTCATGTGCCCTGTCTGTGCCTGGGGCCCTCTGCTGGATGCCAAGAGGCCGAGGTAGCTGTGAGAGGAATGAGGCGTGGGGTGGAAGGCACAGGCTCACATCACCGCACAACACTGGCACGTCTTTTGCTTAGGGCCACTTGCCTCTTCACCCTCAGGAGGAGCAGATGGCTCAGGCTGCTGGGCAGGTGCATAGGTGGGCACAGGGTGGGCACTGGGGTTGGCCCTGGGCTCCTCCACTGGAAGTAGTGGCTGGCACTCGGTGGGCTGCTCAGGAGCTGGGGTCTCTGCCAAGAGGGGGGTGGCATCTCCCAAGGTGTCCTGGCCCTCAGCAGAGGTTTGGGGCTTCATTGCTTCTTTCTCCAGGGAGCCTTTCTGCTTCTCTTGGGGCTGCTGTGGTCCTTCCTCCTCTGACCTTAGCTCTTCCTTGGCCCCCATGGGCTGTTGTGGTCCCTCCTCCTCCGACTTGAGCTCTTCCTTGGCCCCCATGGGCTGTTGTGGTCCCTCCTCCTCAGACCTGAGCTCTTCCTTGGCCCCCACGGGCTGTTGTGGTCCCTCCTCCTCAGACCTGAGCTCTTCCTTGGCCCCCATGGGCTGTTGTGGTCCCTCCTCTTCAGACCTGAGCTCTTCCTTGGCCCTTAGGGAAGCCCCTGCCTCACTCACCTCCTCTGTCTGACCTTCTTTTCCTCTTGACTTTCTCTGCTCTTCTAGACTTACATCTTCCTTGACCTCCTTGGTCTTCTCTGCCTCTAATGATTCCTTACCTCCTGTTCTCTCTGCCTTCAGTGATTCCTCATTTTTTTTCTCTGCATCCAATGGCTCCTCATCTCCTGTTTTTTCTACTGTTGGTGACTCCTCACCCTTCTTTCTCTCTGTCATCAATGGTTCTTCAATTGCCTCTAGCTTTTTTTCATCTCCTTTCTTCTCTACAACCAATGGTGCCTCAATTTTCTTCTCTGCCCCTAGCTTTTCCTCACCTCTTTTCTTCTCTGCCTTCAATGATCCCTCAATTGCCTTGCTTTCTACGCCCAATGGTTCCTCAGCCTCTTTCTCTGCCTCTAGCTTTTCCTCACCTCCACTCTGCTCTACTCCCAATGGCTCTTCACCTCTTTCTCTCTCTGCCCTCAAAGGTTCCTCTGTTTCCTTGCTTTCTGCTGACAATGGTTCCTCACCATCTTGCTTCTCTGTCTCCACCTTTCCCTCACCTTCTCTCCTCTCTGGCTTCAAGGGTTCCTCCACTCCTTTCCTCTCCACTATCAGTGACATCTCCACGACCCCGGACTCTGCCCTTGCCTTTTCCTCACTTTCTTTCTTCCCTGTGCCCACAGATTCCTCTGCCTGTCTCCTCTCCACTTCCCAGTTTTCCCCCCCTCTCCCACTGTCCACCCCCCGAGGACTCTCATCTCCTCCCTCCCTCCCCAGTGCACTCGGCCCTTCCAACCCCTCCACCTGCAATTCCTCCCATTCCTCACTGAGGGTCACCCTCTCCACCCAAATGAAGGATCCCTCCTCTCCAGAGGCCCCCTGCCTGAAGCCATCAGGGCTGCCCCTGGGGGCCCCTTCTCCTCCAGCAGCTATTCCCTCTAGTCCCCCCTGGAGCTTCAGTGAGCTGGTCTGCACAGTCTGTGGGCCTCTGCCTGTCCCCCCTGCAGCCTCTGAGTCACTGCCCTCTGTGCCTCCCACCCCTTCCCAGACCACCTCCACGACACCCCTGTCCTCTTTCACCCAGGACGGGAGCTCTGGGCGGTTGGCTTCCAGCCTGTCACCAATGGCTTCCAGCACCATCTCTTCCACCTTAGCCTCCAGCTCTGGGCCGGTGGCTTCCCTGGCACAGTCCTCTGTGACCCTCAGCCCCTCCCACACTACTTTCACCACGCCCCCTCCTTTGGCCTCACCCACCCCTCCTTCAGATGCTGTCACCCCCTGACTCTGCTCCTGTTCCAGAGTGGGGCTGGGTCTGGGGCAGGGGCCATTGGCTTCTGGGGAGGCCCCTGCTGCCTCAAGGACCCTCGTCGAGGCTGGCAGAACCCCAATAGTCTCATCTCTGGACTCAGACAGGTACTCCAGGGATGTGCCCACTGGTTCTGCTGGCAGGGAGGCTCTCTTGTTCAGATCAGTCTGGTCTGAGGAAGTCAGAGAATAGGGGGTGGGGCAAAACAGGTGAGGTTGAGACCACTCAGATTCAGGCCCCTCCTCTTGGGGGCCCCTATATCTAGAGGCACAAATACTCACCTGCCTCGTCAGTGGGCTGGGAGAGTGGACGATGACCCTGTAGAAATGGCAGAGACAAGGTCAGGCCACCCCATGTCTTCTACACCTCTGCATGCCAGTACTCCTCCCCCTGCTCAAACACCCTGTATGGCTCCCCATTACCTTCAGGACCAAACCTTCTACTGCACTTAGGCTTTCCTCACCCAACTTATTGCCCACTGCTCACACACAGTAGTGTCGTGCAGCTAAAATTCTATATCAGAGACCTACTGTATTGTCTGCTACTGAGGTTACCAAGGGACACTTAAGCCTTTTGTTATTAGAACATACATTCCAAACTGTATGTTGTAATACATAGTAGGAGGGCAGAATACTGTACCGGGAGATGGGAGGGCTGGGTCCCTCCCCATTCTGACCCTCGCTTGCTATGTAACCCTGGGAAAGGCACTGTCCTGGGCCTCTGTTTTCCTATCTGTAAAATGAGGCACTTGAACCAGAGGTGATGGGTACTTTGACAACCTGTCCTCTGGTTTCCAAGGCACTTGAGGGTAGTCATCTTCCAAGGGCTTTGGCTGCTGATAGGGTTTGGCCCCGTGACTAGTGACATTATTTCCAGCTGCCCACATGGCCCCATCCTAGTGTGCCTGGTCCTTCAACTGTGTGGTCCAGAGCAGTCTGGCTTGCCAGGGATGTCACTGTTGGGGAGACAGTGACTTTGGGTGGGGAGTGACATAATTCCAATGAGAATAGGCAGGTCATAAATAAGTATAAATAAATAAGTAATGTCAGGGAGTGAGAAGAACTCCCTGGCAGGAAAAAAAAAACACAACAGGATGAGGCGTTAAGGAGTGCCTAAGAGGTGACAGGGCACCTTCTTTAGGTATATGATGTAGGAGGGCCTCTGGGAGGAGATGACATTGAACAGAGAGACCTGAAGAAGAGCCAGCCTGGAGTCAAGAAGTGGGGGAGGGTATTCGGGCAGAGAGGACAGCAAACAGAAAGACCCTGGGGCTGCAATAAGCTAGACAAGTTCAAGGAACAGGAAGCGGAGTCATTGTGGCTGGAGAGGAACATGGGCTCGGGGACAGCTTGGGCCAAGTTCCATTGATCTCCTCACAGGTCTCTGATCCTAATCTCTTTCCAGCTTCCATGCCTTTACAGAGGCTGTTGTCTGCCTGGAATTACCTTTCCCCTTGTACCTGGCTCCCACTCAGATTCAACATAGATGTCACTGCCTCCAGGAAGCCTTCCTGAATCTTCAACATCCCTAAGGTGCTTTCTCTGAGCTTCCCCATGCCCAGGGATCCCCCCTCACAGACTCTTTGCACCCCATCTCTCCATATGGACTGTGAGCTCCCTTGGGCCAGGAAGCATGCCTTGTGCACCTATGGCAAGGAACTTCTGACTTACACCAAAAACCCAACAAGTGCTTCCCATGCCAATTAACAGGTCTTCTCTCTGGCCTGTGACAGGCACCTCGGAGCTAAGGGAATACATCAGGGAAAGGTGGGGACTATGGAAAACCCACACCTCACTGTGGCCAGGCACAAATGTGGCCAGAGTTGTGGACTTCAAAGACAACCCAGATGACCAGATTTTACTGTAAAGTATCCTGGTTTTTAAAATCATGTGTGTGGCATTAATTAAGGTGTTGCTAAACTGAAAGTAAACAAACAAAAAATGCCAAACCTGCGTAGATGCTTCAGATCCCAAGATCATTCTCATGGTTGTCTGTTCCTACCTTTAAGGCCGGATTTCATAAGCACTCTCCCACATTTTCTGCCCTCCTTCCTCATTGGCACCATACTAGCAACTATATATTAAAACATTGCACTGTGCCTGTTTCTGCTGCTAAGTTGTGAGTTGTGGACCCTCCCTCCACACCTCTTCCAGATGTGTGCTGATATTTTCTTTTCAGAGACAGGGAAACTGAGGCTTGGGTAAGGAAAGTGGCTTGCCCCAGACCACAGAGCCAAGAAGTAGCAGAAGACCAAGCATCTAAACTGTACTTGTAGAGAGGTTCTGCTTGGGGCCCTGTGGCCACACCCATCCCCAACCCTTTGCTCCTCCTTACCTGTCTGCGCCAGGTGGGTCTGCCAGAAGGCTTGTGCTGGGCACCTGTGGATGCACTTTGCAACAGCTGCAGCTGAGATTGGAGCCTGGAAGAAAAAAGGCTGCTGGGAGCTGAGTCCCTAGGCTCAATGGACCCCCACCCCAGTTTCAATTTGCCACCTCCTGGAGGTGGGCGCAGGTTTCTGACCTAGTCAGGCAGGGGAAAACGTGGCAGGCAGAGACCCCACTCACGTGAACAAGCTGTCTTCCAGGTTCCGGATGCGGGCCTGTGCCTGGCCCTCGGGGGACTGAGGGTCCTGCAAGGTGGCGTCCTCTGGTCCCTCATGTCCCTCAGCCCCATCCATTAGCCACCGCTCCCGAAGAGACTTTCTCTGGGCATGGAAAGGGGCTCCAGCTGGGATTCCCTGCCTTGTGCAGGTCTCCTCTCCCTCCCCCACCTCACAGGCTGGGCAGATTTCTTACAGCTCCACAATCACCCAGATGGGACAGACAGTTCTCCCTCAGGCTGGGATACATGCCCTCATTGCCCCCTCAACACTGCTAGGTGGGACAGACACCCCATTACCAGCAGACAGCTTCCCCAGGCTGGAAAATACATCCATCAACCTCCACAACCCTCCCAGAAAGGGACATACATCCCCAAAGGTGAAATCAATGTCTCTTTTGGCTCCTCCCCACCCCAAAGTTGGACAGACACCTTCACTGTCCCCATATTCTTCCCAAAGGTAGAACAAATATCCCCGTCACCACCATCACCCACTCATGAACAGCGAAAGACAGCCACCCTCAAAGCTGGGACCAGTGGCCTCAACTGCTCCCCCATAATTAGACAGAGGGTCCTATGGTCCTGCGAACCGACTCTCACAGGAACTCCCCCACCCGCTTCCTGGCCCAGGTTGGGCAGGCACCACCACTTGCCACCAACCTTGAGCCGCTCCACGCGGAGCTTCTCTTCCTCCAGCTCCCCTCGCGCTGCACGGATCTCCTCCTGCAGCCGCCGCTTCTCCTGCTCGTGGAGGACCGAGCTGCCGCTGACCGGGCTGGGCCGCCTCCTCCCTTTTCACCCTCCCTCCTCCGCGAGACTCACGGGGAGGGGGGGCGTTCCTGGGGCTGCAGGGCTGTGGGGCGCACGTCGGGGGCGGGGGCGGGGAGGGGGCTGCGGAGGCGCTGACTCAGCAGCGGTGGGGGCGGGGCTGGAGGGGCGGGGCCTGCCGCGCCCCGGATTCTGCGGAGGCCTGGCCCTCACCGAATGGGGGGGTCTGTGACTGGGTGGCGGGTGAACCTTGGAATGGGCATCTAGAGGAGAGACAGAGCTGTGGGGGCCTGAGATATGGGGTTTAAGAGAGATGGGGTCCAGATAAGGGGATCAAAGGAAGGGGGCTGATGAGATGGGGGTCCGGTATGGAGGTGCAGTCATAGGGGTTCGGCGAGACTGGGCTGTGGAGATGGGGTCCAGAGAGATGCAAAAGTGGGGGACAGAGAGATGGGGTGCAGAGGTGGGAAACAGAGATGGGGCTAGTGAGGTGAGGGTTTTAGAAAGATGAGGTACAAATATGGGATCAGAAGGTTGGGGTCTAAAGGGATGAACTTTTAGATATGGGGGGTTCAGAGAGATTAGCGAGATGGTTAGTGAAAAATGGGCTTAACACTCGTGATGTTTGGAAGAGGTCGAGGTTCAAGAATGCAGCGCTGGATGATGCAGATTCTGGATGTGCGGGCTGGAGGGGAGGTCCTCAGCCTGGTCATTTTGGGGGTGGCGGTGATCAGACAGAGGAACTGGAGAGCGGTGGGGCCTGAGGATTTAGGTGGGACGCCCCAGGAAGGGATGGAGCTGAAGGTGCTGCTCCTCCACTTAAAGACGCTAGGCCATCTCCCCACGATGCAAGGGAGATGAGAAAGAAGCCAGGGGCAAAGCTGGGATTGCCCAGGGCGCTGGGCGGGGCGCACGGGGAGAGAGTCACTTACCGCAATGACCTCCAGTCGCTGCCGGTAGAGGGAGCTCTCAGCCATGGGCCTGTGGAGAGAGGGCAGAGGCTTCGGAGGGGGTCTCCCACCGCCCCACCCTCAGCAGACTGACCTCTTGAATGCCCCTCTCTGAGCCAAGATCCTTGAGCTACTTGGCAAGCAACTAGAGCCCAACATTTTCTCTATTTCCCCTTTGCGCCTGGGAGGAATTGAGGCAAAGGGTAGAGGTCCTGTGAGTAGGCAGGAGCAGAGACCATGATAGTTGAGCTGAAGCCCTTCCTAGGTCTGACATCACCTCTCTGAGCCTCAGTTTCCTCATCTGTATAATGGGCCTGGATAGCTTGACCCTGACCTTGCAGAGAGATGCCCTAACAAGGAAGCATCCATGTAGGAAAAAACTTAGGACATAGTACTCCAAAAGCAGTAGCAAAGGTTATTATCCATAATACCTTTAATAATCCCCATGACTAATAATACTTATGATTAGTTATAATAACTATTCCCAGTCCATCCTACAGAAACTTTTGAATCCTGCCAGGCCCCCAACAGGCTGTGTCTCTTTCCAATTCCAAACCCTCTCTGGACTTTGGCCCCTACCCAGGATCCCTTAAGCTCTGGCAGTGAGGGAGTCTGGGGAGAGAAGTGTCCATCCCATCACTGTGGACACTCACCATTGCCATGGTAACTCCAGAGCTGCCCTCTCCCCCTGCCACCCCCCCCAAGGGGCAAGGGTCACCAAGTCATGCTGCCTATCTAGTCTTGGACTCTGAGCTGAAAGGAGGGGAGGAGGATTTGCTATTTAAGGTTTAACCTGAGATACTCCCATCGTTGTCCTCCTTGCAGCATCCCAGGATCCCGCTTCACAGCCTCCAGGGCCACCCCTGGCCCCATCTGGGCTCCCTCTGGAAACTGGAAGCTGACTGTAGTACTGCAGGGCGCTTAGTAGACAGTCATCGCTGTATCAACCTATCATCATGGATATGCATTGAGCACCAGCTATGTGCAGGTGCTTCCCAGGCCAGTAGCTAGAAGGACACATCTATCTACCTGTTGTCCTGGACTCTTAGCCCAGAGTGTGAACAGGGTAAGCCCTCAAACATTTATTAATTTGAGCACTAACGCTATTGGGCGAGTATTAGCCTGGTTGCCCAGACTCAGACAGGGCCTCCCAGATCTGCGGCCACACCATGCAGCTATAATATCAGTACATATTTAGAACTTACTATATATAGTGCTGTAAGTGCTCTGTGGGGCTTCCAACAGGCTACCACAGCTACCTCCCCTCCTCTCTGCCCTGATCTTGAGACACTGTAGTTGACTCATTGCTGAGTTGACATTCCAACTGAGAATAAAATCAGCTAACCATTAGCCAGTGCATACCATGTGCCAGGTGCTGTGGAATGCTTTACCTATATAATTCACTGAATTCTCTCAAAGATCCTAGGAGGTAAGTAGTATTCTTGTTCCCATTTTATGGATAGGGAAACTGAGGCTTCAAGAAGTGACAAAAAGACATGTCCAAGGTCACTGAGTCAGGAGTAGAATTGGAAGCTCTCAGGCCCCAAACACTGGGAACTCTGGGGGAGAAAGGTGAGGTCCGGCACCCTATCTTGGCAGCCAAGAGGCCAGAGATCAGCCTGGGATGTCTGTGATTTCCACTGGGGCAGGGGGCTGAAGTCATGCTTTGCAGGAAGGCCAGACCCTTTGCTAAATAGTTTTGCCCCTGGGGAAGAGCTGAAGTGCCCCCTCTGCTGTCCCATCCCTAAGATGTAATCTCTTGGCCTCTCCCTTGCTGGGGGGGATCAGGTTCCCATTGCTAGGCAACCAGGTTTGTAGTTGGTGAATAATGTAATGGGGGACCCAAAAGAGTGAGGAAACCAAATTGGGGTTCCTTGGGTAGCCCATTTTCCAGAATTTTTTACAAACCTCTGAAGCCCCTCCATCCTCCTACTTTAAAAGGCCCTCACACTTCAAATATTAAAATACTCTGTACATGCATTCCATATTGTTTATCTGTAACTCTACAAGAACAGCATTCATAGTGGCCCGTTGCCACCAGGAGCAGTTGGTGGCCATTTCATTAAGCAAGTGATCATTTCAATTTTGCCATCATCTTTCCCAGTTTAGAAGCTATTAACTTTTTCTGTTGGATTTCAAGCATTTCCTCCCACCCTAGATACTGAGGGGTGTTCCTAGAGGCAAAACACTGAGTGAGTGGCCCTGTCATTCCCTGTCCCCCTACCACCCCCAGGCTGGACTTTGGGCTTGAAGGCTGCCAGTGGAAAATCCCCAAAAAGAAGAGGGTAGGGGTTCATTTCTCTCATCTGACTCTCTGGGGAGGGGGGGCATCAAAGAGCCTCTGAGGTTGGCTGCTGGTGTCCCTCCACTCCCCCTTGGTCCTTCTCACCCCGGTGGAAAGGCCTGTGTCCCCCATGAACCCCTTCCCAGGCCCTGCCCACCTGCCCCCCTGACCCTGGACACTTACATGGGTGTGGCCGGAGACCACACCTGGCTCTGCAGGGCCATCTCTGCCCAGAATCCCACGTTCTGGTCTCCGAGAGATCAGGACCCACCACCCGCTTGCCCGCCCGAAGGTGCCCTGGAGGCTGTGACTTGGCTGGCAGGAGGGGGGGCTGCGGTCAGGCACCGGGAGAGCTGGTCCAGCTGGTTTGGGCTGGGAGGCGGGAGGTGCATGGGGCGAGGGGGGCTGGGGGCTGGCGGGCAGTTCTGGGGAGGAACTATCAGCTGTCCTGATAAATTATTTACCAGCCACTGGCCTCCTTGCTGTACTTGGCTGCCTCCTGGTAAATACACTCTCACATGTGTGGTGGGGCATGTGGACCCAAGTGGGGAGTCAAGGGCCGCCCCCCTCAGAGAATGGCAGCTCAACTTGGCAAGACAGACACCTCATGTCTAGCCTGCCCACCAAGGGTCCCCCACATGCATGCAAGCAAGCATCATTGCACACCACACATGTTGGCTACTCTCACAAAATTCTTACTGCCCTCCCTTCTGGGACCCTGGCTCTGGGGTGGGGAGGGAGGGACTGATCCAGCTGGAGGATTCTGAGCACCATAGGAACCAGGAGACCTGGGCTCTGGGTAACTGTAGGCAACTCACCTCAGATTTCTAGACCACAGTTTCCCCTTTTGTGAAGTGGGAGAATTAGATCAAGTGGCCTTCAAGACCTGGGACCCTTACATGCTATAGCAGGGGTGAGGTCCTGATGAGGAAAGTCCAGAGAACTTTCCATCCAAATCTTAAGGATCTCTGTTTTGAGCCCCATGCCACTCTTAAAGTGCCAGCAGCCCTTTTCTCAGCTGACTTCATGTTTCATTTAACCACTCCTTGGGGAAAGCGCCTACTTTCCAGGTTGGTGTCCCCTAGTCTCCAGTGCTTCCCCCATCACAGCCTTGGTCACAACTATGCAGTTCCAAGACAGGAGCCTGGAAGAGAAAGGTCCTTGTCCTGTACTCCCTGCTTTAGAGAATGCACTCCAGCTGAGACATTCCCTTGGGCCAAAGGGAAGGGACCCACTTACATCCTGCAGCTTCCTCTTCTAGATCCTACTCTGGGTACTTGGGGCCCCAGAATTCCCTGCTCCAGTGGTCTTGAGCTCACTGAGAAGGCTTTCGATTTCCTGAGGGCAGACCATGAAGCCAGGGTGTGCCTCACCCTGCCACTGCAGCCCAACCTGGCCCCAGAAGAGGCCAAAGACAGCTGTTGGGAGAGGGGTGAGGAAAGAGCTTGGACATGTAGGACCATGTCCCCAGGTGCATGCACAAAGCTCCTTGCTATGCAGGGCAGAGTTGGAGGTGGGAGGCAAAGGGGGCCAGACTGAAGACTGGGGTTTCCCTGTATCTCACATTCTAGCACAAAACTCCTAGGGATTCAAAATGTTGTCAGTTAAGCTGGTCTTCTCAGTAATTCAGAAAGTATATTTGCCATGATAGAAAGAGAGAACATATTTTTAAAACTGGTTTTTAATTGTGGTAAAATACACATAAAATGTATCAGAGTGGCATTTAGTACAACACAATGTTATGCAACTTTTGCCACCCCAAAGGAAATCCTTCCCCATGAGTAGTCACTCCACATTCCCCCTCCCCCAGCCCCTGGCAACTACCAATCTGCTTTCTGTTTCTATGGGTTTGCCTGCTCTGGAAATTTAATGTCAGTGGAATCATACAACATATGGCCTTTTGTGTCTGGCTTCTTTCATTCAACACGATGCTTTGGCATGAGTAAATGCTTTATTCCTTTTTTATGGCTGAATAATACTCCACTGTGTGGATGGACCACATTTTGTGTATCCATTCATCTGTCAATGAACATATGGGTTGTTCCCACCTTTTGGAGGCAAGAGCACATTTTATTTAATTACTTGTAGCTTGATTTTGTAAGTATAATAACAACAACAATATAAATGCAGCTACTTTTAAAATGGAGCTAGAGCCACCACCCCAGAACTGCCTTGCATGTCTTTTCCCCTCAGACCTTGGGAATGTTAACACAGGGCAGAGTAACCTTTGGGCTGGGTCTAAAGCAACATTGTGCCCTAAAGGAATGTTTGCGAGATAACGAGAAAGCAGATCTATGACTACAGGACCGATGACTACCGGGCTGAAATTTTAAAATGTTGTTTAGAATTAGCACCACAGAATTAAGCTCATCTGCTGCAACAGAAATGCCTTTCTTCTATTGGTATAACTGTACCTCTTCCCTTTCTCATAAAATCCCTTGTCTTCATCTCCTAATTGGAACACTGATTGGGTTTCTGTCTGAATTAGTGCTTCCCAAATAGCTATTCTTTTGGATCTCAAATAAATGATTGTTGCCTCTCACTTCAGCCTTTATTTTTAGGTTGACAATTTTATAACTGTTAATGATTGAGATGTATAGTATATAGGTTTCCCTTTGTACTCTTGTCCTGGATTCCACACTGAGGCAAGACTGTTCCGTTTTCAATTGTGTCTGCCTCTTAAACTCAACTGTGACTGCCAAGTCTGATTTATTTCTTTATTTTCAGCATTGATGTAGGCCTAGTAAATATCAAGCAACTGCTTTGTGTCAGGCACTGTTCTAGGCATGGGAGACTTGGGTATAGAGGTGGGAAAGACAAACTGAAATTGTTATAATGCAACTCATTTTCTAGTGGCAGGAGATAGATGATACACAAATAAATAAACAAAGGTGATTGGTGATAACTGCAGTATAGGATGAGTTACAGAAAACAACAGGGATAGAGTTATGCAGAGGGTTTTGTATGATGTAGGCTAGATGATCAGGGACCAGTTAAAAAAATTTTTTTTTAAATTTTTAGAGAGAAAGGAAGGAAAGGAGAAAGAGAGGGAGAGAAACATCAGTGCGTGGTTGTGTCTCACCCCATCCTCCACCAGGGACCCAGTCCACAACCCAGGCATGTGCCCTGATGAGGAATCAAACTGGTGACCCTGTGCTTCACAGTCTGATGCTCCATCCACTGAGCCACACCAGCCAGGGTAAGGACCACTTTTCTGAAGAAATGACACTTGAGCCCAGATCTGATAAGTACAAGCCAGCCATATGATGTCATTCCAGGAAGAAGGAAAGACGAGTGCAAGGGCCCTGAGGTGGGAATACAGTGGGTATTTTGAGGGAAGCGCAAAAGCTGGATCCAGGGACAGGTTGTTACAAGATGAGATCTTTGGGCTGGGGAAAGGAGTTTGGGTTTTTCTTCTAAGTTTGGTGGGAAAGTATTAGAGTAAAGTGAAGTGACTGGGATAAGGGTGGAGAGAAATGGACATATTCAGAATGTTTTGGAGGCTGAGCCAGAAGATCCAACTGCAATCTAATCCAGATGGATTGGAGGAGAGGGTGGCTGGGGAAGAGAGAGATTCAGGCTGACACCTAGGTTTTGGCATGAAAACCTGAATGGGTGAGTTGCCGTACATAGTGAGGGGGAGCAGAGTGAAAGGAAACTGGGTTCTGTTTTGAAAGTGTTCAGATTGACATATCTATTAGACATGAGACTGTTTTTGTCTATAAGTCCAAAACCTTGGAGAGAAGTCAGAGCTAGAGATGTAAATTTGGGAAACATCAGCATAGAGATAGTGTTTAAAGCATGAGATTGGGATCTGTCAGGGTCCCAGTGTTGGCAGCAAAGAGATTCTGTGCTCAAACCAAGTAATGGATGAGAACTTAATAGATTCAGTTTACAAAGGTGTAGGGAAACAATCAAAGCATTGTGCACATCCTGGGTTAGGAACAGCTGGGAGCAGTTACCACCCCTTGGCACCCCTTGGCCTTATGGGGGGGGGGGAGAGAGATTGAGATTGCTGTGCAGAGCTGCAACCTACAGTGGAAGGGACACAGCCAACTGCCTCCAACTGAGGGCACATTGGATAAACATGTGACCTCACTTTCCTCTCCCCCATCAGCCAATCCCAATGGAAGTCAGAGGGGAAGAAAGCCTGTTGATACAGGTGAACGGAAGTCTGAAAAGGGGTGCTCTGGAGGTAGGAGCAAAACTAGGAGAGGGGGGTATCCCTGGAGACCAAGGAGCTAATGGAGAGAAAGTCAGAGGGGAGTCAGTGGCTGGGTCTGACAAATGGAGGTCATCACGGTCCTTGGATGGAGAAGGCTCAGTGGGTTGGTGGGACCAAGAACTGGGTTAACATGACCAGAGGAGAGCCAGAGGTGATAAAGTGGAAAGGCCGCTAAAGAGACATCTCTTCTCAGAAATACAGCTTTAATCCTCATCAACTCCCAAGTGAGTAGGCATTACTATCCCTATGTTACAGACAAGAAAACTGAGACTTAAAGAAAAAGAACAACAACAACAAACAAATGAAAAAACCCTAAGCCTTGGAGAAGGCTGGTAACCTGCTCAGGTTATGAGTGGGATGAACCCAGGTGGGCCCGATTCCAGCTAAGTCAATGGGATCAGAGGGAGGAAGGAAGTCAGATGGTCAGAGGGAAGAGATCAGCAGTTTGTGAGACCCAGTAGATTGCCGAACGAGAGGGTGGAAGAGAGGGTAGTCACCAGAGTAGGCAGAGAGTTGGGGGGAGAAATAGTCACAAAATTGGATTATTGAGGGTTTCTGAGACTGTGTAGCCCCACCACTCTCTCTAGGTAATTATAGCTTTCTTCCCAATCGCCCTAGAATGGTCAGGGGCAGTAGGCAGATTTGGAGAAAGCCTGGGGGAAGACAATGGACAATGTCCCTGGGGATGGGTCTCTCAGGGGGAGGCCAGGAACTGGCCCCAGCTGCAGGGAGCTGCTATCTTCTGCAAGCCTGGATCCCTCTCTGGGCCTTCCCAGTTGCCGGAGCCCAGGGTGACCGCCTTTCTAAATAACACAGTCACTCCGCTGAACCCTGGGTGCATTGGATCTGTTCCTCTCTCTTGCCTTAATCTGGGCGTGCACTTGGCCGCGAACACCTCACGGACTTTTCCGGGAGAGGGTCAAAGGAAGCGGCCTCTGGACATGGTGAGAGCCGTGGCTACCGCTGGGGATCCTCGCTGAGCCCAGGTACTTGGCGTCAATGCTTCAGGCGCCCCCTCCAGCCCGAGCTGTGCGCCGCAGGGGTGAAACGTGGATGGACTGCCTAGAGGCCGGGAAGTCGCCGCATTCTGGCACCGGCTGGGCGGGACTGGCAAGGCCCCAGAATGCTGTCTTCCGGGGATACCCCTACCGGAGGACCTGTGGCTCAGAGACCCAGCCAAGCTCGTGGCTGGGGCTACGCCTTCTGGCAATATCAGGGACATGGGAATGAAAGGTGCCAGGGTGGAGCCCAGTGTGTGAGTCGGCCCCCAGACTGGCCCCACCAGTGGACTAAGTCTAGGAAAGTCCGGTGCCCTGAGCTGACCCGAAACACACGGGTGGACAAAATCCGGTGCCCAGCGGAGGCGCGCCCGCCCCGAGGGCGTGGCCGGGGCGGGGCCCGAGTCCTCCGGGCAGGTGCAGGGGGTGGTGCCCGGCCCTGCCCCCGAGGGCCGTTCTTGGAGGCCAGGGGTTGGGTCAGAGACACGACTGGTGCGGGCGACGCCCTGGAACCCGCGGACGGCGACTGCAGCCACAGGTGCCCTGCGTCCCAGCTGTGGCCATCAAAACTCCGGCGCTAGAAACTCACTTTCGAGCTGCTCCCAACCCTGGACACCGAGGCCCCCGGGCCGGAGAGTGGAGCCCTGGGGTCGCCCGAAGAGCGGGGCCCAGAGCCCCCGGGGTCAGACAGCGAAGTCCCTGGGCGTGTCGCAGGGCAGGTAACCTAGGTCCCCAGGACAGGCGGCGAGGTACCCGTGTCCTCTATATAGCAGGACGAGGAGACCCACAAGCAAGAGAGAAAAGTTGCTTGAGCCATTAGCGGGGCAAGACGCAGAGCTCCCGGGGCCGTGCCCACCTGGGAGCTTTGAGACTCCTGGGCCGGGCAGAGGCGACCCCGAGCCATTCGAAACGCGAAGTGCCGGGGTCCTGGGAAGTTTCCCCCTCAGGATCCCTAGACTTCCTTCTCCGGGTCAGACCTGGAAGCCCCCCAGCAGGGGTTTCCCTCTGTTCCCTGAGACCCTCCCCCCTCCGCCCAACAGTCCCAGAATAGCCGCTCATGGAGACGCCCATCGAGCGCGAAATCCGCCGCAGCTGCGAACGCGAGGAGAGCCTGCGCCGAAGCCGGGGCCTGAGCCCAGGTCGAGCGGGCCGCGAACTCGTCGAGCTGCGTTTGAGGCCGGTGCTCAGCCTGCCGGGTCCGGGCCCCGCGCTCCCGCGTGCCTTGGAGCGCGCGCGGGCGGGCGCGCAGATGCAGCGAGACATCGAGCGGGAGGCCCACCGGCAGGCGGCGCTGGCGCGCCCCGCGACCCCGGAGCTGGGCGCTGGGCAGCCTCCGCAGCCGCTGGACGAGCTCAAGCGCTTTTTCGAGGCCGCGGGTGAGTGCGGCTTCTCGCTGGCGTCTGAGGGAGGCGCGGGGCAGCAGCGGCTGCTGGAGCACGGAAGCCGGCCGCTTCCGGCTGTGCAGGGCCGGTGCCCAGTGCTTGCCCGCGCCCCGCCGCCCATCGCGCCGTCACTGCTGGAACTGGAGGTGCGTGAGGCACAGGAGCGCGAGCGGGAGCTGCAGCGCCAGAGGCTTAGCGTCTATGGCACCGCGGAAATCAAGGAGCCCGCACCGAGCCTAATGGGTAAGCCACCCGTGCCTGAACGCAGGGGTCCCCTCTCCGACTGCCCAACTCCGGTGGCCCCTCTCTGGCCCTCTGGGGTTTTCCTCTGGTTCCCAGATACCTGGTACTCCCTCTCAACTTTCCGTTCTCTGCTCACCCCCTTCTGGGTTGCCCACACTCTGTTCTCCACTTGCCACTCGGAGTGGTCAACTACCAGATACACCTCAGCTAAGCTCGTGATAGGGGAAGGGAGGATTCCAGATGTCTTTCTTTTTGTTGGGTCCCAGGGAACTCTGCCTGGGTTCCGCGACTCCTGCATCGTCCTGAATTTTCGGGTTCCTACCCTCCTACTCTGGGTTTGCTTGACTCCTCCCGCAGAATGGAGATTTCCTGGGGGCAGTGGGGGGGTGGTGGTGGTGGTGGTGAATGCCTGTGTGTGTTTAAGGGGTGCGGCTGGCTTCCTTTGTCCTGGCCACCTCCAGCTGGTGAGAGGAGGAAAGACCTCGGCTGAGTGTCTTTTCTCCGCAGCGATCAGGGGCGATGGAAAGCTGGCAGTGATCTGGCCTCCCCGCAGAAAGGCTTCGGAGAACGGCCTGGAGCAGGTGGGACTCCCACTTCCCTCTTAGGCGCCTGTCGCTACCCCTCCCCCCTACAAACACAGGGACCCGCGGCGCCAGGACGCTGGGCCAGGGACAGTGCATCCCCGCGACTCTGGGAAGTCACTTTGGGCTAGTACACCAAGTCCCAGGCGCCGCCCAGGGGTGATGAGGAGGCGGTGGTCTTGGGGCCCAAACCGCCCCACCCTACGCCTGGGTGTTCCGACTGACTCCCTCTTCCCAGGAGGAGCGGAAGCCTTGAGGTTAGAGCGGGCTGGGGTCCCCGGCCGGAAGTAACATGCCCGTCAGAGGACGGAGGCGCCCAGGAGTGCCCTCTGGATAAGCAGAAGTCCTGGAGAGGGGCCAGAGGTCTGCACCGGGGAAGATGAACGCTACCAGCCCATCCTTAACTTGACTTTGTGAAATTAACCAGTTTCTCTCTAAAACTGTTATTCCCCACCCAGCCAGTGAAACTGTCCAGCCCTTCTCCACCTAACTGCAAACCAAGCTAGGTTCTACCTCCGGCCTTGACTGTTAGAGGGCCGGGGTCACCGCCTCAGCTGTCCCCAGTCCCCAATAAACTTTCTTCCTTCTGGGCCGTGCGGGTTGTTTTTTTGGGTGTGTGTGTGTGTGTTTGGGGGGGGGTGTCCTCTTGATCTGGGGTGGGACAGGAGCGCAGAAAGCAGAGGAGAAAGCCATAGGTGGCGCCGACGCAAAGCAGAAAGTGCCTTTAACGCCTTATTCCGGGGCTGCCGGTCTCTCCCGGTCCTGCCTGGGTCCTAATGCCCCCTGGCGGCGCGGGTGCAAACTGAAGCGTTTAGATCAATGACCTCAGGCCCTCCTTTCCAGACTTCGTCAATATTTATTAGTACCAACGGCGTGCCCCGCGCTGGGTGCTGGCTAGACAGAGGTGATAAGGGGTTGTTCCTGCCTCTGGGTTGTAAACAACAGCTAAAACAAATCACACACATAAACTCCTTAGAAGGGAACACAGGCCATTTATAATCTGCCCAGTGATTGCAAACCTCATATGCCTGCGGCCCCAAGCAAATATTGAGGAGAGAAATGAGGTGTGCTTGAAAACAAATGCCTTCTTTCAATGGGCAGGTAAGTGTTCCTCCATATTAGCAGTGCTACCAATGAGTGAGTTATGAGTTAAGTGGTGTCAGAGCTTCTGATTTCTAAAAGAAATCTACTAAACTTTAAATAATTGTGACTATTTAGAAAACTTAAAATGGGTGGGGGGGTGCAAGAGGAGGCAGCAAGCAACACCTGTCTGCAATAGGGCTTGTGGTTGTCAATTAGCAAACCCTCCTTAATTCTGTCCCAAAACAAGGGGTTCAAGACATTTTGTGAACACCCCAAGTTGTAAAATTGTATCTCTGCAGTTATATTCTGTGGTTTTAGCATACCACCTTCTTAGAGGTGCAGTGAGACCCAGGAAACATTTTAGAATCATTGTTTAAACTCTTGGATTTGTCCAACTCTCTATACCCTGGGTCCAGCAACAGGCTGGAACCTGCATAGGGACAACAAATGGCTAATGAAGGATAGAAGAATCCTTGCTCATACAGCATTGCACCCCAACAGCAGCTCAGCCCACCACTCAACCCTATCATCAGCACACTGACCATATACTTGACCTTGACTCTGGGAAGACTGGAGAGAAAGGCAGGAAAGTCAGCACTGTCAAGGTGGAAATGGAAACACCCAGATCCAGTTCTTAATTCCCCGTAGGGCAGCCAAGAACTAAGCATGTAAAGAGTTGACAAGGTGGCTTAAGTGCAGACCTGGTTTCTTGGACTTTCTTGCATTAAAATCACCCGAGGAATGCTTATGCCAAGTAAATCAGAATCTAAGGGAAGTCTTGGCATCAGTAAAGCTTCCCAGGTGCTTCTAACATGGAGTCAAGTTTGAGAGCCATGCTGTAGATGTGGGCTAGCAGTTCTCAAAGTGTGCTGCCTGGATCAGCAGCACCAGCATTGCTTAGGAACTTGTTAAAAACACACGTTGGGCCCCGTCCCAGACTTAATGATCAAAACCTCCATGTGATTCTCAGTGACACTAAAGTTGGAGAATCATGGGTGTAGACAGGATCCAGGAAGTCAAGCCTGTTTCCTTCCTCTCCCACTAGGGCCATCACCCATTGGAAACCTTTAGTCTTAAGTGGCCTGTGGATTTGCCTTAAGGGAGACAGTCTAAAGCTGTGAGTGACTAATCTGAATTGAGATGTACTATAAACATAAAATACCAGATTTCAGAGGCTCAGTACCAAAAAAGGGGGGATATCTTGCTAATAATTTATTACACTGATTATATGTTGAAATATTTTGCAGATATTGGGTTAAATAAAAACATCACTAAGACTAATCTGACCCTTTTTTAATGTGACTATTAGAAAATTTGAAATTACATGACTCACACTTTATACTATTTCTATTGAACCAGGCTAGTCTATAGTTTTTTACAGCTGAGAGAAAAAAATCTCATAGGGGACACCTCAAATCAGTATTAGGGAGCTTCAGAACCCCCTTGAATTCATTTAGACCTGGGTTGTGGACAAAAATATCCTTGATACAGTCAGAAATTGTCACCAAAAGTCCCCTCCCTCCCAAAACAAGGGTTTTGGTGTCCAATCCTGATTCACTCACCCCTCACATCCTTTTGTGTCTTCTGTAAAATGGGGCTTATGATAATACTATGTGCCAGGGACTATTAGGTAAGCGAGTGTTTTGATCAAAGCCTAAAAGCAGGGCTGTTGGTCTCTCTGACTCTGAAAATGCGGGGATACCGGAACCAAAAGGCATTCCTTAGTAAAGGGCGTTAACTTTCAGCTGAGTGACAGAAGGCCAGGAAGGACACCCCTCACCTCACAAGGGACCAGTTGTGATCAGAGGACCCAGCTCAAGTTCAGGCTCCGCTACTTGCTCGCCGTAGCTTTGGAGAGGTGAATTCAAGTGTCTCAAACCGGGTCTCCCCTCCAATCCAAAATTGGGGTGAGGCTTTGGAGATCCAAAGTTGTAGTTCTTTGCAGCTTTCCCATCCCACCTGCGCCCCGGACACACTGTGGGGGTACGGCGACCTGCCCCAGTCCGAGACCCCCAAAGTCTAGAAGAGGAAGATCTGACTTTGGCTCTTAGGAAACCGATTAAGAAACCTTATCCTGGGGCACGTCGGGAAATATGGTCTTTTATGGTACAAAGAAATCACTTCCGGGTTAAGATAGGCGAATGGGCGTGACTTTGGGGGGGTCCCTTCACCCCACCCCCACAAATCCCGCTCCCAACGGGCGCTGAATATTCCTGCTACCCGAAACTTGCGGTTTTCTGGGTTCCGGTTGTTGACAGGCACCAATGCTTCCCTTTTTGTTTCATGTACCCTTAGCGCATGCTCAGAGCTCTTGTCCGCGGGTCCACGGAACATTGTTTTATTACAAAAAACTACATTTCCCAGAAGACAGCACAAGTGGGCGGAGCTTCATCTCCCCTAGAGGAGGGGCGCGGCTCTCCGAGCGGACGCTGAGTCTGTGACCTCTTTTCTTTCTTTTATTTAAGATAAAACTAGTGTGTCCGTACACAGGGCCCCGTGGTCTCCGCTGCGAACGGACCAGCTCGGCCTGGTCCTTTAGAAGGTGAAGCCGAGCTGCACTTGAAGAACGAGTGAGCCCCTTCCTGCCTCTTCCCTTGGAGTTTGGAACTGTCAAGCTCCAGCTCCCATCCTCTCTCAGGTTCAAGACCCCTGCGCTGCCCACGCTGTGGGGCCGGCCGCGCTCGGGGGCCTGGCGGGGCCTGCCTGGCCTGTGAGGATTTGTACCAGCAGGTCGGTGGCTAGCATGTGCGACGGCTCCTCGAAGCCGATGGTCAGCAGCTGCTGGTAGTCTCCAGACGGCTGCGGACACACAATCCTGGGGACCGGGAACAGACAAGCCTGGACGTGAGCGCCTCCTGCTTCTCGGGAGCCTTCTCCCCTCGAGTGAGAGAGGCTGTGGCTGAAAGAGGCTTTGTTTCAGCTGGGGGTGGGAAGAATTCTGGGGGAAAGTGGTTTCCTTGTTGATGAGAAACCTAGAGGGGTAATAGCTCTGAGAGGCTGAATTACTTATTCCTGACCTGGCCAATCACTCAGCTAGCTAGCTGTGTGTTCTTGGGCAGGTAACAACCTCCCTGAGCACCTGTTTCTTTGTAAAATGGGGCTAATAAGTATAGACCTCAATAAGTTTTTACAGGGCACAATAAAATGCTATCTTTATACCAAGGTTAACAATGTTGGGGGAGGTAGATGGTTTTTGATGGGGTTCTGCCCTACCCTCCAGAGCCTATTCCAACCTTACCATTGCCCTAGCTCCTACCAGGAATAAAGGTCATCTTCGGCTGGTCCTAGAGGCACCCATCGGCCGATAGACCACAGCTTCTGAATCTGGGGGCATGAATTGGCCGGACTCTTGCCTGTGTCTTCCCATGTATCTCGATAGCACAGGAAGTAGCTGGGAGGGGAAGAGACAGTGATTAAGAGTAAGTAGTATCCTAGTTTCTTCTGTTTAGGGCTTTAATTTTGGAGGTAAGTTAGAAACTCATCGGAAGTTGCTTCAAGTTCTAGATAGGGGTATGTGACTCAATATTGGGGCTCTTTCTCTCTGCCAGACTATTTTTAAGATCAGAACTTTTATTTTTGATTAGGGAATGAATTTTTTAAAAGGTGAGGTTGGCATTTCAAAGGTCCTTGGTTTCCTGCATGGTTTTCCACACCTTGATGGTGGTGGTTCAGTGACCCATATTGGCACTCTCCATAAAGGGGGTGGGGACTTTGATTCTGGTAAGCAGACTCACTAATCCACATGGGAATCTTGCCCCTGGCTGCTGGGCTCTGGGGTAGTTTCCAGGTTCCAACGCATCTTCTTATAGAGATACCGGGGAAAGCGGCTGGCGGTGTAGGCAGCAGGGGCACAGTATCTGAAGATGGACACCTCATGGGAAGGACTGATGGAGAACCTCCCACAGAAGAAACAGGAGATGCTGGCAGGAGATGGGAGAGTAAGAAAGGAGGCTGTGCTGTGGACCTCTCTACCCCCCACCAATCCCAGTCTCCCACCCTTTTACCTTAGGGGGTCTGTCTCCTCCAGGTCCACAAACCCAAAAGAGGCATACATGAGCACCAGCTGTTCCAGGCGCAGGGTCAGCTGTTGGGAGATCTCCAACAGCTGCATGGAAGAGGGAACATCATAAGATTAGCTGACCTGCCAGGAGCACCCCCCGTCCCCCACCCCCAGCCTGAGAGATGAGAAAAGGGGCATGGGGTCTAAGAAATGGCCCCACACACCCCCTTTCGAACCAGATCCTGCAAGCCTCCATAGATGGGGGGCACACTCCGTGCAGCTGCCTCCAGGTACAGAAAGTAGGGCTCACACATCTTTAAGAAGGTGGGCATGGCCTTTGCCAGCTGTTCCTTCTGAACGCGGTCCCTGCTAAAGGGAGAAGAGGACCTTCATCTGGGGTCCCTCATCCCCCCTCGTTTCTCCCACTCTATTCACCCTCCACCTGTGTCCCTGATCTGGACCTGTGTTACAATGCTCCCACCCCCAGTGCCAGGCCTTTGTCAGAGCAT